TGGCAGCGAGGGTGGGGTGGGGAGGTGTTTGGTTTTTATTCCCCCTGACTGCTGGGTGGTTGCAGCAGGTTTTGGTCACTTCACATGACCCTGGGACACTGTGACCGTTATAAATATGAATCAGTTGCCAAGCATCTGAATGTAAATCACAAGACCCTGGAGGTGCTGCAACATTCCAGCTGATCGGCGCTTCTTCTGGGCTCAGCAGAAGCACCAGGATCAGCGCTGAGCTCCAGCTGGAGCCTGGAGCTGATCCTAGCACTTCCACTGAGCCGTGACAGCCTTACAGCTCCAGCCGTCTCTCGCTCAGGCTTGTGTGGTGCTGCCACCGGTTCAGCTCATTCCCCTCCCCCACTACCACTTTTCTAGGATGATCGCGTACCACCTGCCAGGTGCCAATGTACCACAGGTGGTACCCGCACCACTGGTTGAAAAGCCCTGCTCTAACTGACATTGTTTACCTAGGAAGGAGAATCTCTGCAAAATAGTCACTTCATTCCCCAGCCTACAAAGTTATTCCAGAAGACAACCATATCAATAGTATTGAACATTGCCAAGAATTCAAATAGGATCAGGAAGGACTCCTTCTAAATCCCGATCAAGGTCTCTAATCAGAGAGGCAACCTTTTTTTAAGGAATACTTTTTCATGGCAGCTTAAATGTTGTAATTTGATAATGAGGGGGGGGGGGGAAGCAATTAATGTGGACAATTTCATCATGAACAATAACCTGAGTACAACATGTACTTTTCCGCCTCTGCAAACTGGCTACCATAATTTTCTTGAGTATGTTGTTAGAAAAATTAGTGTCATGGTTCCGACAGATGAAACTCTTCAAAAGAACTTTGAGGCATTGTTTACCTTAAAGAATCTTTATTTTGAGTAGCATTAATATTGGCACTGCATAATCGAAGCCAAAAACTGAATTCCCCTCCCCTGAGCACGTAGAATCAAAGCACATTTGCCTCCTTCAATTAACAGTCATAAATCACATTTCCCAATTTAGCTTGAAGCGCGGGCGTCCTCTCCAGTTCTCCAGCCCGCCAATTCCTTATCAGCTCTGGTTACAATAACTTTGTTTCTCACGCTAGGTTTAGTGTTGTTATGTCTAGTTGGACTCTTGTTCACATCCCCCCTCCCAGCATCATCTAACTCTAAAAGTAAAAGGTAAAAGATGGCTACATTTTCATCTGTTGTCAATGCAAAAACATCCGATGTTAGCAGTGTTGACAATTAGTTGGTGCAATGTCTTATTTTAACCTTCTTTTGAATAACAATAATATATATAGTTATTGGTCCAATGTTCATACTATTTAACATTATCTTAAAGACCTTGCAACATTCTCGTATGAAAAGTCTTTAATACCCCTTCATTACTGCAGATATTAGGGACTAAAAGAAATAAACCTATAGCTAAAACAAGGAGTCCTCATAGGTTCTAGCTGTTCATTTCTTGATCCAGAGCAAATTAATGCAATTTCTAAATGCTGCTTGACAATTGTCCAAATTTTTGCTTGAGAGAAATTTAGCTCTTTTTTCAAATACACATTTCCTTGAAATAGTGCAAATCTTATATGAAGGACAATTAAACCTTCAATATATATTACAGCCAAAATGGGACGTTTGTAACTTGTTGTAAACTGTCTTTCTAATCCTAAACTTCCTTTCTAATCAAAGCTTCTTGATTTATATGGAAGGTAATGAAATAGGGTAAGCATCTTTTTCTTGCTGTTTATTTTGTCCATTTAGTAAATAATCACATACACCAGCTTAAAGTATATATGGAGCTTACTGGAAATTGTTTTCTACCACAACCCGAACATTAAAATAGAAACCATATACTAATAATATCCTGTACAGAGCTGTTAAGGTTGACTGTTTTCATTAAGTGATGTCTATGAAGTCTCAACAAAGTTTTTTGGATTTTTTTTTTTGATGAAGTGTGACTAAGTAGATGAGACAACAGAAATACTGAACTTGAAATTAGTTAATGCAGTGATGGAACCAATTATGGTTAATATATGCACAATGGGGATAAGGAATAAATGCTTTTGCATCATAGCTATGCTAAAAATTACTATTAGTGTTGCTGCAGATTCAAGAAGCGTAGTACAATAACTAGGAAATATTACAAAGACAACACTTTGAATCAGCAAGGTGTAGGGCTGTCATAAATTGAATGAGTTCTTGTAGCATGGATGGCCTTTTACAATTTTTTTTTTTTTACAAATTGTGGATACTAAAAATTGAGTCTGTTTGTCGATGGGGAGGGGCAAGTGAAAGATCAAACCAGAAATACAATGAACATTTTTCATAATTTCTTATATTGTTCAGTCCAGATAGGGACATAAGTTTAATTGAAGGCATGGTACTACTATTCTCAAATATGAATATTTGATTTTCATTTAAAACTAATCTGGTTGGGTGCAAGCTTGTTCTCCCATTACACTAAACCACAGTGTAGTTCATTTTATTTTGGTGTATACAACCTATTCATCTGTCTGCAGGAATCCTGGCGATTTACAAATATTAAAATAGCAATAAGAATATATGTACATTTAAATTTTTTATTAACAAAAATATAACAAGTAACATCTAATAAAACGTTACCAAACACGCACAATATATTGACGTAGATAAATACATACTGTGTGCATGTCTATACAGGTAGTCCTTGGTTAACAGCTGCCATGTTTAGCAACTGTTTAAAGTTAGGACAGCACTAAAAAAGTAATCTTATGAATGTTCCTCACATTTATGACTATCCCATGACTGAGATTTGGGAATTTTGAAACCAATGGCTGTTTATGAACTTTGCAGCTTCCTGCAGTCACATGATTTCCGTTTGCGCATTTCACAGCCAACATTTGACAAGAAGTCAGTGGAGAAGCCAGCAGTAACATTGCAAATTGCAGGCAAGTAATGTCTCACTTAACACCCATGGCACTTAGCAATGGAATTGGCGATCCCAATTGTCGTTGCTAAGCGAGGACTACTTGTATACACATACATCTGTAGCTCTACAATCAGTCCCCAAAAGTCTTCTGGGAAAAACAAGTTTTTATTAGCTTCTGGTGGGCCATGACAATAGGGGCTGTGCTCTGGGTCATCCTTGGGGTGAACAGCTGCTCCATAAAACGGGAACTGCCATCAGAATATCTCTCTTTAGCCCCCCTCTCGGCACACCTTTGGCAGATGGGGGCTCTAGGAGGTGCTCTGCCACTAGGAAGAGATTATTTTGGATGATGGTCTTAGATGTCCAAACCCTGAGCCATGTAAAGCTATAAAGGTAATGTTGAAGGAAAAGTCTTCATCATGGTTCAGTCCAAGCCGGGGATAAACAACATGGCGACTGCTTTAGAAAGAAGGTTGTAGTTTATTGAAGAGGAGAGCCAGACAGAAAGATGGCTCTAGAAGAAAAAAAAGAGCACATGTAGGGAGTGGGTTTTTATACCCTCTGGAGCCTTTTGTTTGGAGTTGTTTCCTGTTCATGTTTGAGGCTTTGTATTTCCTGTATCATGTATTCTGACCTGAGTCTGGGTGTGCCCTTTGGCATCTGTGAGTTAATCCTATTATGTCCTGTCTTAGTCTTTGGGTGGGTTATGTAGATTTTAGGTATCTTTGTCTTCTTAATCTTCCAGGTTACATCTGCATAGGTTACATCTGAATAGGTTACATCTGCATTACATCTGAATAGGTTACATCTGCATTTCTATAGAGCTGGTTTCTGCTTGGGGGAGGGAGACTTGGGGCTATTAAAAAAAAACTGGGCGTGCTTTTCTGCCTCTTTAAGATCCTTTGAGGAAATATATTTTTCCGCCCTTTTAATATTTCCTTCTCTGGGGGACTGACTTCCCACAGTAACAATCCATACATTGAAGTACATTCAGAAATACACTGGCAACCGGTGCTGCTCCTGCTGTAGTGATGTAACATGGCACTATAGGTAGTTCCTTAATTTATAACCACTCATTTAGTGATGATTCGAAGTCCCAACGGCACTGAAAAAAAGTGACAAGTGACCAGTTTGCACACTTATAACCACTGCAGCAACCCTCTTGGTCATGTGATCCAACTTTGGGCGCTTGGCAACCGTACGACAGCTATACTGTCCTAGGGTCACGCGATCTCCGCTTGTAACCTTCCTAGCCAGCCTCTGAGCAGCAAAGTCAGTGAGGGAAGCAGATTCACTTGACAACCACGCGATTCACTTAGCAACCGAGGTAAAAAAGGTCGCAAAGTGGAGCAGAACTCTTGAACACCTGCCTGAGCAAAAGAAAGGTTGGCTCAAAAGCGGTCGTAAGCGAGGACTACCTGGTAGTTAGAACTTGATACGCTTAGACCCGCGCTTAGAGCCCAGAGAAGGGTTTTTGGATCCAAGGAAACAGCACTTCACGTGGCTGTCCCTCCATCCCCCCTGAAGCACTTAAAGCAGTGTTTCTCAACCTGGGCAACTTTAAGATGGATGGACTTCAACTCCCAGAATTCCCCAGCCAGCAAAGCTGGCTGGGGAATTCTGGGAGTTGAAGTCCATCCATCTTAAAGTTGCCCAGGTTGAGAAACACTGACTTAAAGGATTGGCGCAAACAACAACTCCCGCCGCCGCCGCAGCAGCAGCACTTCCGCGGTGGGTGCACCTTCGAATCCCAGACCGCTTTTTTTGCCCAAGAAACAGCCGCGCGCTCTGCTGGCGAGCGGAGCGCGCGAGCCGTCGCCGCCCCGAGAGCCGACAGGAAAAGGGATGAAAAGGCTTTGGCGTCGTCGGGGGGGGGCGGGTCCAGATATGCAGATGAGGAGGCTCGCGCTTTGACGGCTAGAACGCCGTCAGGAGCCGGTTGTCAGCGGCTCCAGTCGAGGCGAAGCCGGTCCGCCGACGGTTTGTTTAACAGCCGGCCGGCTTCCGAAGAGCGCGGGAAGGCGAGCCCTCCGGATCGTTGGGGGCGCCTCGGAAAGCCTTCGCGTTCCAGCCGGATTGTGCGCGGACAATCCCTGGCGGGGACTATGGCGAGTGTCAGAAATGGAATCGGGGGATGGAGCGGCGGCGGCGGCGGCGGCGGCGAGGAGGTGAGTCGCTAGGGCGGAAGGAAGGGTCGGTTGAGTTTGCCGGAGGGTAGGGGGAAGAAGTAGAAGTGGTAACCGGGTAGTCGCGTGCTTACGCGCGTGGAGCGCTCCTCCAGCCCTGAGTGATACCCGCACGGCGGATGGTGGGGGGGGGGGCTGGGGGGGGAAGAGAGTGTTAAGTGCTCCGATTTCCCTATCGGGAGTCGCTTAGGCCCCTCTTCCCCGTCCCCCAACGGGTCATCGCCGCCGATGGGCTCCTGTCTGATCCGGGGCCAGATGCGGACGGAGGGGCAGGCCTGACCTGGGAGCGCTTTCCTCCTCCCGGGATGCCTCGGTGGTGGAGCAAGCGGCTAGCTTCCTGGTCTCCAACAGGTGCTGCTGGTTTTCCAGGAAGAGGGGAAGGGGTCGTGTTTAA